ATTTTCATAAAGTGTAATTCTATACATGAATAATTCAAATTTACCTCCTTTAATATATTAAAATTTTTAATTAAATGAAGATGGAAAATATCTTTCGAAGAGTCTTTATTAATCAGAACCTATTCTATTTTATTAAGAAATGGGATATTAAAAGTTAATTTAGTATAAAAATTTTATAGCTGTAGAAAATCAAGGAAATGTTAGATGTTTTAAATTTTAAGTGGGATTAATTATTTCGATTTAAACTATAAAAATCACAAATAAAGACTATTCAATAATAGCAATTTGGTACAATCTAATAATTTTACATTACAAAATTTCACAAGATCACTTATCCTTATTTATTGTAATGATTATGAATTACATTAAATTTTTAATTATAGTTTTTCTGATTATGTATTTTCATATCCATTTAAGTACATTAGAAACCCTTCTCATTTAGCTATTTTAATGAAGTAAAACAAAGAATTATATATAGCTATTTTTAAATATAATATATCTTCATTGCAATTTTAAGAAATTATAGTTAAATTTAAATATTATATTGATATTGAAACTGATGATTCCTTTTTTACTTTTTATTAAAGTGATCTATTGTATTATTGGTATAAAGAATGGAGATATTTACTTTTAAATCAAATTTTGGTAGAAGTAGAAATAAATCATAATTTTTTAAAGAACTTATCATTACTCTATTAGAAAGATTTATATCCAAATAAATAATAAGAGAGAAGTATTTAACTGATATTGTAGATTTAAAACAATTGTTAAAAGATATATCCTCTTAAGAATTTATTTAATTTCGAAATTAAATAGAATTAAACATTAAAATTATAAATATCAGATATTTTTTATGGTCCAATTAATAATTTGACAATTATAACTAATTCCTCAATCTTTTTTAATGGACCTTTTCAATTGAAAAAAAAGTTTAACCTTGTAATTTAGATGAATCTTATTTTTGTATCAAATAATTTGAGATTGAAAGTTAAGTATAAAGATTAATATTTTCAACAATTATTATGGAAAATTAAGTTTTTGAAATTATCAATACTTTTTCAAATATCAAAATTATTTACATTATGTTGATAAAATAGAATTATTATCTATTATTTTTACAATCAGAAAACAATTTAAATATTCAATTAATTTAATGTTCTGAACTAATTGATTAAAATTGTTATGTAATAACAGATCTTAATGAAAAATTTCAAATACAACCTATTACTGCAGATATTTTGAGAACAGGAAATCTAATTAAGCTAAAAAATTAATTTAACCAGTCTTTTATTTATTTTGAAGATATCAAATTTATTTTAGTATAATTACCTGAAATCGTCATGGATGTCATTTAAATTGAAGAAACACAGGATCAATATTTAATAATATAATAAAACAAATAAAATTCAAGTAATTTAGAATTGATGATTTATTCAATCTATTTAAATAAGAAAAGTATAGTATATTCCTTATCCATTCCTAAATAGCTTTATATAAAATTGATTAATGATCGAAAATTTAAATTTTAAGAATTAAAATTAACCTCATGTATTTAAATAGGAGGTTTAACAAAAATTAAACTATTCATTATTACTTAATATTATTCTTATTTGTTTTAATTAATATTAGATAAGTAGAAGAATTAAGTTTAATTTGAATTGTAAAAGTCAGTTAGAAATTGTGATTCTTAAAACTGCAAAAATGAAATATTCACAATAAACTATTTTGATGACATTATTTTAATTTTAAAAGAAATTAATAACAATCATTTTTTATTTTTTGATTTGAGAAAACGCAGAAACTTTTATGATTATTTTCATAAATCAC